CTCGATAGCGATCGCCGATGCGCGTCGCCGATTAACCGCAAGGTAGCAATCATCGTGCGGCACAGTTGCAATTAGCATTTTACGGAGATGGATTTTTCTTCGACCGCGGCAGTCTCGCGTCGCAACCTTAAAAGCTCACGTTAAAATAACGTGGTACTAAAGGACAGTAATTCATTGCGCATCTTTGACAATAGAAGAAGATTGCGATTTTTAACGCAAGGCGGAGAATACTTATACTCCTTACTTATTTTATCACGGAGATTATCTCAGCCAACTATTTCATTCACGTTCGTGGAACTACTAGTCTATCATAATATAAAAGACACTTGAATAAAAAGTGTCGTACTGATAATTTATCGCAATTTCAGCGACATTTCTCGTTAATACTATCAGAGATCTATACTCTACAATGATTTTTAAACAGAGTTTTGGTTGCAATTTTTTCAATTTTGGTTTTTTGGTATAAATTGTATAAAACATGTGAAACTTTTATTTATTTTTATAAAGAACTGTAAAACTATGAAAAGTGCTGTCATTATTTCTTTCATATTAATATTAATAAAATATTGGATACCCAAAAGTGGGATCTGTGAAGTTAATACGACATTCTATTAATAAAAAAAAAATAAAGACCGTTCTAGTAACACTTTCATAGTTTTATGATTTCTTATAAAAATAAAAGAGTTTCGCATTTTTTATACTAAAAAACTAAAATTGAAAATATGATATAACTTTGCAAATTTATCATGGTACTTCCTTTCTAAAGTACAAGAAGAAGATAAATATTTCCGGTTTTAGCTACAGATGCCATTAGTACTCTATAGAGTACTAATAACTATATAATATAACTATAGTTATATTACTATAGTAATAACTACTACTTAATAACTATAGTTATATAACTATAGTTATTGATATAACTATAGTTATATCAATGTATGTAATTTAAAAATAAAATTTCAACAATTTCCAATTTTAATTATACACTTTAACTATGCATATGCTTACATTTTCTAATCAGTTTTATCTCATCATTTATTAACGTTGTATTTTATTCCTTGTTCATTTCGATGCACCGGCCAATCTCCGATAGACACAGAATTACTGTTCCAATTTATCCTTTAATCAGATTTGCCTCTCGATGGGAGCCACATCTCACAATCATCACTTTACTGCGCGTCGTTGCGTTTTCTTCTTTACGCCTCTTCTTACGTTTCGCCCTAAGCGATGCCTTGGGGTCGTGCGCGATCGATTCGTGGCGATGCATCAACCGAGCCGAGGAGAGAGAGAGGAAGAGAGAGAAAGATGAGTGCTTAAACACCTTGTAAGAGCAACTCGCGCGGCCGTGGTAGCGCCGGGGAACCCCGCCTTAATTTATACTCGCCCCATGCGCCGATCTATTAATCCCGGACCGATTGTGAAGCGTGGTGAATGCGATCGGCCGGCCGGCCGTAATTATAATTATCCCGACTATTTGCAGCAGCATAACTCACGACGACGCGCGGTAAAAACGCAACGTGCGATCGTTCCACGATCGGGGGACGATCATAGATCATTTCGGCGGTCGTTACGGGACGCGCGATCGTCGTGATTAATGCGTGCACGCGCGCGATAACACGGACATGAATTTGTAACCCGTTTTTCAATTTTATTGCAGATTACACGGTGGCTGAGAAAGAAAGAAAAGAGAGAAAAAGAAAGAGAGAGAGAGAGGGGGGGGGAGGGGAGAAAGCCGTGAACAAGTAGTGGAGAAATCGCACATGATTCTTCGCGAGTCTGGGAAAACAGACATTTCTGCTTGAGACGTGAGATTCCGAGTCTTTGTTGTGCGAGAAAACGCAATTAGCATAAAGAAAATTGATCTCGTCCTCCAATTTTTGCTCTGCAAACCGTCCCACTTGGAGATCGTCTCTCGACATTATTGAGTCTACTTGTCGAATGATCGGTGATTTCAACAACTGTTCAATGAACGCTCTATAGGTAATGCGCACGGGTTTTCAGAGCGCGAATACTCGCGTGGGTGATTAATTATCTCAAAATCGCGCGGCAACAATTGCGACCGAGCGAGAAATGCCCTGCGGGATTAAACACGCGCGCAAATGCGAGTCGCGAGCGCCTTGTGACCCCGACTTAATTTATATTCGCCCTCGGATTTTTTTCTCAAGGCCTCCTCGTCGATCCGATCGCGCCGTTTACGCCTACGGAACTATTCTAGTTACGACACACTGAAACACAAGTACTAGTATACCACTGCGTGGACAACAAAGGGACTTCGAGATTGAATTGCGTATACCCAGAGGCTACTCATATTATTTCAGTGCTGAGCATCAGATATAAGGTAGAAAGAGAGGCAGAGAGAAAGAGAATAATAGGGTGAGGGGGGGATACTTTGTCTCAATTACTGAAGTCCATAACCGATTAGAAATTATGTAATTATTACGAAAAATAATTATAGCACAGAGAATAACTTAACGAATCTTCGCGCAAAAAAAGAATTTTCTTGGATTTTTTTTTAAGGGAGGAAGAGCATAATCAAACATATTTATGTACGAAAAGAATATAATTGTAATTTACAAAATGTAATTTTGACTTGCTTTCTTAACAATAATTATGTCATTTATTTACTATGTAAAATATTATCTAATAAAAATCAGCTATATAGTATAGTAGAAAATTTTTATGTCAAGATCTATAGGTATCGTTATTCTTATTTTAAATTATTTTTGTAAACTGTTAAATGTATTATATGACTTATTTTCTTTTCTTTCTTTCTCTTTCTCTCTTTCTATCTCACTTGACATATTGATGGGTATCTCGTGCCTTTATTATAGCGCGCGACGTAATATCGTGCTCGTTACGTTACTCTTCGTTGCTCTCTATCTTCCATTTAGGCGTATCCACAAGTTGCCTCCTTCGACATATGCACTGAAGTAATATCCATCCCGAAGATTTTTATCCGCTAGTATATTGCGCAAACCGCTAATAAATTATGCCCGCGCAAGTCGTTTAAATGCACGGTGTTGCAGCGAAATGCGCGATACTTCGCCTTTCACCTTGCTACGATAATGCATTCTGTCGTGCATTGTGGTTCGGTTGGGATAACTGCCATCGAATTATCGTATGCTGTATTTCGAGCAACAATTACACGGAAACGATTATTAAAAATCAACCGTTGAGGACCGTTGTGGTTTCTCGCGATTAATAAGAAGCGAGTAAAAGTCGCGCCGCTATGTTGCCTTTTTATGTGTATGTCGCTATGGAAGCGCTCTCAATATCTTGCAAATCACAAAAATGTATCAGCAAAGAATAACATTTCTCTTTCACAAGCTTTTGTCGCAGATGTACAAGCAGCGTTGTCTAAAAAATTGTTCTAAAAAAATGTGTATATAGGGTGTTAGTTAAATATGTTGCCATACTCAACAGAGCGATTCTTTGGTTTATTTCAAGTAAAAAAAGTTCATATAAACATGTATCCTAAACGGCTTAGTTTCCGTTATACAGGTCAATGTTTGCAAATGTTTGATGAAACGGTAAATTACGTTAGAGATATCTTCCTGCATAAATATGCCTTGCTTCACGTGAGGAGTTACCATTCGCACAAACGTAAACAAAGTGACAAAGTCAAAGTCAAAGTCACAAAATCAAAAATAGACTTCAGTTCTAATGTTGCTGCGGGTCAGTTAGCTTGTACATACGTTTTCCTAGATCACCAGACTTAAATCCTTTGGATTATTTCCTTTGGGGGCATCTGAAATCATTGGTTTATACTACCCCAATTGAGAATGAGAATGATTTGAGGAATCGAATAGTTGCTTCATGCGAGGCAATACGTAACACACCTGGTATCTTTAAGCGTGTACGTCAATCTTTGAGAAGAAGGCTCGATGAATGTATCATGGCGCAAGGTGGACATTTTCAACAATTCATCTAATTGTTTTATTTCATCAGAAGAACTGAAGCCTGTTTTTTTTGTTTTTCTGTTTTTGACTAATTTTTGACTAGTTTTTGACTAGTATTCAAGCTCTATTTCTTTCAAATAAAGATATGTAATACCACGCGGAGGTTGTCTAGGCGGATTGACATGTCTTTTGTGCTCGGAGAAAGATTGGAGAATAATGCAGCCAATGTGAAGGTAAGATCGGTCTTGACTGGCCAGTCTCCAAAATTAAATATTTTGGGTAATGCTAATGCCAGCGATACTGTAACTTTGAAGCATTATAACTTGAAAAGTACTTCATGAAAAAATATTTCATTATAGCGTTTTGGAAAGCTCTCGACATCAGCTATTAGATTCTTGAATCAAAAATAGGATGTTCCATTTAAGAAAATCAATGTAACCTTGATCTGACCTTGGCTACGCAACCAAAGGTCAAACTGATATATAGGATCAGTAAATAGATATTTTTAAACCATATAACTTTTGTCTGAAACACTTTTCTGTAAAACTTATATTTCCCGAGATATTTAGGTGTTCCGACATTTTTGGGACACCCTGTGTATATATACATATATATATACATGTATATATATTTACATAATAAACTCTAGACAGAATGTGTTGTTTGTGCATCTGCGACAATAGTTTATGGAAGAGAAATCTTCTTTGCTGATATACATATATTCTTGCGAGACAGTGCGAGCCTTTCTTATATATATATATATATATATATAACGTTGTAAATCGGAGAGAAAAAGAAATCAAGGTAAAGAAATTAAGGTCGTTTCTTTCCGCAAATCAGATGTTTTCATGAAAATAATAGATATTAGAAAGTGTCTCCGCTTTTTCCAAGATTTTCAGCAATATATAACTTTGCTTTATAAGATAAATCCTGTACGCGGATAAATCGTCATTAAAAGCATATATGTTCGGTACCAAATTCTGTACAAAACATTTTCTCGCGATAGAAAGAATTGTATATAGAAATCAAGAACGCCTCGAAAATTATAATATTTCTTAATAACATTATTTGCGTAAGTCACGTCTACCGTTGTATTTGCAGAAACAGTTCGGTCCTGGGACAAGCTCTCGCAGTTGATACCAACGAATTCGGTGTACGAGAAGCAAGACCGAAATGCATCACCGTCCAGCAACGAGGCCGATGCATCGCTGGCGCATTTGCCGGGGGAAAACAATGTGATGGACACGTCGAAATCAAAAGAGAGAGGCGATCATGAGGAAGAGGAGAAAGAGGACGAGAAAGAACCTAAGCTGACGTATGACGTCGAAGAATACGAAGATGGAGATAAGCACGAAGAGGAAGAGCTCGAGGAGAAGGAGGTGGAACTAGTGGTGGAAAAGAAAGATCTTCCTGATAATGAGAATGGCGCAACGAAGAAAGAGAGATCTCCACCGGAAACCAGCAGCGTGTCGAATATTGAAGCGGGAGACAAGGATGGGGATTATCTCGAAGATCTCCCGACGAATCAAGATGACAATACGTATTATTATTATGAGGAGTACGAAAATGGAAATCGTTCTCGGTACGACGCCGCAGGTGAGATTCGGCCGTTTCTAGTCACATCGAACTGTAATTGTTTATTTCTCTTCTCGTAGATGCACGATTAATAATCATGAAAATAATTTTCGTATCTCAATCTTCATATATCATTAAATTTGGTATTTTGTAAAAAGTATCAGATCTTCAATATATACCTACTAGCGTAAAACAGATTCTACAATCGCATCTCAATTTGTTCTTAAAAATGAGAAAAATATGAACAAATTTCCGTTCCGTCCAATTCAAATATTTGACATAACTAAAAAGTTTGATTCTTCTTAAACCTTTTAAATTCTAAAAACAGTTTTTCCCATTGTATTTTATAAGAAGATTCGACATCTTTCAATTTCTTCGAATATAATCTAAATAATATATTCCCATTCATTTTAGAAGGCGAAAATCTCGACTACCTAGACACGGAATCTGAAGAGGAGGATGTCACGCCGGCGAACTCGTCAGAATTGGAACACGGCGCTTTAGAAAAGAGAGATGAAGACGTCTCGCACGAGTCGACTTCTAACTCGTCACGAATTGTCAAGGAGGAAATCAGCAATCCGATATCGTCGATAGAGTTGGAGCAAGGCTCGTCCATGGAGGGTAGCGACAAAACGTTCACTACGCTTGGAACATCCGGGAAGGAGGATCCCGAGAACGTCTCTGCCGAGGTCAGTTCTATTTTGATAGGCGGTGCCGTGGTCTCTGTGGTAACTACAAAGAGTGTAGTGAACGGTACAATATCAGTACCGACGACGGCCTCACCGGTTACCACAGAGCAAGTTCCGTCGCCGCCGTCGTCGTCGTCGTTACCCGAGATAACTGAGGAACACCTAGAAGTGACCACGGAAGACTCCGCGAGAATTCTGGCCTCCGTGCAGACTAGCCGCAGCGTATCGGGCGCGCGCTTTCTACCGTTTCCGGTAATAGATCGCGTAGAGCAGGTGGAAGCACACAGCGGGTCTCTCGAAAGCAAGAAGACGTCGCAATCACCGTCCACGGAGAGCATCATTGACAAGCTCGACTGGGCGCAGTCCAAGTTATCTAGTGATCTTTTGCCAGCGGCCATCCTCGGTACCGGTGGCTTCCGAAACAACGGCAATACGTTGCAACTGGATGTGTTAGCCGAGCGAGATCGTACGACGACGACGACGACTACTCGCAGGAGTTTCACGACCACGGCCAAGGTACCGGTCATCGGCAAGTTCATACCACGACGTTACAACGACAGAAAACTGAATTACACCAGCACTAACACGGCAAAGCCGCAATTTGAAACTACGGTCGACACTCTGGAAGGTTTGCTGCCTCGAAGTTACGTGTCGAGAGGAACTACTCCGAGTGCGGCTTCCAAGACAAATTTCAGGTTGGATATATATTTTTTGGACATAAATTTTTGGAAAATTTTATAAAATTTATATTTGCGAATATTATACATATCATATCTTAGATAAATAAGAGGCGACGTAAAAATGAGTTTTGATGAATGAATTTTTTAATTACCAGCAACAAGAACGATAATCACTCATTGTCATAATTATGTATCAATGAATCAAGATTTAAGTTGAAAGTGATAGTTATTATCATTTTTCTTATAGGTGGCCCTCTTCGAAACCAACATCCACGGAAGTAATAGAAACAAAGACCATATTGACGACACCACGAGCGAAATCTAAAGCCAGCACTGTCGTCCAAGATATACCTCGCCAAATCTAAGGTCGATATTTCGTCTCTCTTACCACCTGGCTATGATAAGAAAGTCGAGGAAGAATCCAAGTCAAAAGATACTACAACGACAACGTCGACAACAACAGCAAAAATGACGACAGTGAAAAATACAGACATCTCTCCGGACAAGATCGCCTCATCTATCCAGGATCTCTTCGCATCTTCTAAAGTCGATATTTCCGCCTTGTTACCTAAAGATTACGAACAAAAAAAGGAAGACTTTGTTCCGGATGGTAAAGCTACTGGTGATGCGAACAGCGAGCATAATACGACAGTCACAGAACGAACTGATTCTGAGTCGCCTACCACGAAGAAAGCTGGTGGCTTGAAGATTGTATTTCCCAGTAGACCAGGCGGTCGCAAGCCAATCCAAAAAATAACTACTCCGCAGACACTACGTGGAGATGGTCCAGGCACGGTAACACCAAAAATACAAAAGGGATGGCCAACCCGGTAAGCTAGTCCTACAACGTTACACATTAATTATTATTAAAAGAATAGTTTCTTTTAACACTAGAAGTACCAATGTTTCTTGCTCATTAAAAAGGATCAAGCGAATAAACTATTACAAAAAAATTTCAGAGCTACTACAGAGTTCACTGGATGGCCAACTCCGTCCACCACGCCGATTTCCATCGAAAAGTTATTGGAAGCAGCACGCACAGCTACGGTATCGTCGATAAACATGTCGCTTATTCCCAGTACGAACGAAATCTCGAGTACGTCATCGTCGACGTCGACAACGACGACGACGCCAAGACCGACTACTCCCAGCATATGCGATGATGAGTGCGAGGTTGCCGGCACAATACGTATCATCGGAAACGCGACGTGGGTGCCAGAATTGTACGATCGAAACACTCACGAGTGGCAAGAACTTGCAAATCACGTGGAACGAGAGGTATATTCTTCGCTCAATTTGTCAATATCTTCACGAAACGCCGATTATGTTTAAATCACATATTTTTTCAGATAAACTTTATATTTTCGAAATCTAGCGTTTTAATGAAGTGGTATAAAAACATAAGGATCGATTCTTTCAGGTAATTCAAACTTTGTAATTTGGAGCAGTAGTATTGAAATAAGCATGAAAGATGATTACAAATATAATTATAGCATTATTTGCATAAGTGAGATTCTTATTATGTATTATGTATATTTTTTGTGAATTGTATTTAGTAATTAGACATCACTCCATCATACTTTGGGTTAGTCAATTTCATATAACTGACTCAACAAAGGTATTAACATTTTCAGTCAAGGCAGCATCCTAGTAGACTACTTTGTCGAGTTAGCCAATTTACAGCAGAAAGTGAACACGCAGGAATTAAAAGTGATTTTCCACGACTCGCTCAGGACATATAACGCCAATCAGTGGAATGAAACAAACATGAAGGGTCCACTAAGAATGGGAATGTTTACCATCGATCCTAAGTACACTGATTTCGTAGGTGTGTCATCTCAAAAGTTTGTTTTTTTCATCAATATTCTATTTACTTGTCCACTATATATATATCTTTTTTTAGTCATACCTAAAGTAAATATGCCACAGTATATCGAGAAGGATGATAGATTGATACCTCAGTGGGCAATCGCAGTGATAGTGATAGGTGTCGGAGGTTTGCTATTTATTATCGTGTTTGGTGTATCTGTGGTAAGTCAAAACCGTTCGAAGTTTCCATATAGTAGTACAATTAGCAAAAATAAAGATAATGAATTTATTTTCCAGCTCGTCAACAGACAAAACGGATCGAAACTGAAACCGACTATGTCGGCTATTTATGATGAAGAAGTGATTAAGCACGCGTCGAGTCACAGATCAAGTGACTATTCGAAACCAGTAGCCCACACAATATGGACCGATCCTGACGTCTCTTGGAATGACAAGTCTTTCGAATCGAATTCTAACAAGGTGAACAAGCGTGGAAAGCAATATCAAATCGATTGAATATTAGGCGTCATGTATTTATCTTGGACTCGTTCCTTTTCAGATTTTGGTTGACAAGTCCTTCCAGGACAAGAAATACAATATGTACGACAGTTGGCGATCCGAGTGGAACGGTTATTATTACAATCCCTCGCATACGAGCAGCAAATACGGTTACGACAGTACCACGAATTTATCAAGCCGTCACCATCCCGATTACGACACGAATTTTTAAACGGCAATAAACTGCAATTTCTTCTACCAATACCGAGATTTCACTTAATTTATTCGGCGCCTTAGGTAAGCAGCTACGAGAGACTCATCGGAATATTTACTCTATTTTTCAACAATGCGTGTTCATTTCGATAAGAGATTACAAACACCTCTACGTAGAATATTTTAAATATAGGATTTGTTATCTTGTATTCTCTCGTGCATTTAGCAACTATCTTGTGTTCATTATTTCACGACATCGAATTTGTCATTTATTCTTTAGCTGTTTGCCTTAATAAGGGATTCGTTTATTCTAGTCAGAATAATAAGTAATCATATTGTAATCGGTCACTCTCCACCAAAACCGATACCATCACGCCAATATATGTTTGCCGCGATGTGTTTGAAATTGCAGATGTGAAAAGTAGAATTAAGCGAAAAAATGACAATTACACCGATAACGAAATACTTTCTCATTTATAAATGAAATGAGATTCTGAGTAAAGATCAAATCATGTATATCACAATCTTTTTTTATAATCACAGTTATTCGTACATTCATTTAGCATCACATAAAAATATATAAAATTCGTACATATTATCTCTTGTATACAGACTTAAAATAACTTACTCAACAAGGACAATAGATTCTTAATCGACGAGACAGTTGTATCTTCCTGAGTGTTGACATGGCATCTGAGCACACTCAGAAGTTTTTGGTACAAGAACGATTGTCTATCCAAAAAATATGAAATAGCATGAGCATTACTCAACATCCTTCCTTCCCTGTTGTAATTACGTAAGAGGATCATACTCAACAAATATACGGTTTTGAAACATCATTGGCAATCAGATAAAAATGAATCTTTGTTGATATAATGAAGGTTAATGTGTCTTCCTTTTATCCAATGATGCTTTTAAAACGGACTACATTCTAGATATATATTACTTACCTGCTAGCTGGCTTGCATATCGATAAATGATCCTGCGGAATCTCGAAGAATTCTCCCACGCCAGGATCTAGAAAAACGAGTCAGTATATTGTTTTATATGCATGTATGTTGGTGTGTGTGTTGTTAATAAGAATCTAGATAAGTTACATTTATCTACAAATACATATCAAGGTAAGATGATGTATAATCATGTGCAAACGAAATATCAACTTTACGTCTAATTTGTCTTAAAGCATTACCTGCTGAATTGAGACTGACAAATTGGAAAGGAAACTTCAGCGCAGTTACAAGTGTAGGTTTGGCCTCGGCGAAACTCACAATCTCTATGCGATATTTATTCAACATTTCTAAAAACTCTTCATGCAATCTTAGTAATTGCGGTGATTCTGAAACATTAGAACGATAAGTTACATCGCACGTTAATTAGAACTAGAGATCGACAATTACCTTCACGTAGTTCTTGAACCTCAATCGTTGGCCATAACAGCATTTGCGTCGTTTGCTTCAGAGCCGCCACATGTGAACCTCGATGAGGAGTACCGTAAAATAGAATAGCTTTAGTATTCTTACAAATACCGTTCTTATCTCCGGTTTTCCACTCTATAAATACAATATAATATATAATGACTCTAACAATAGCAATAGTGATAATTTTATTGGTACATTTATCAAAGTATAAAAATTAGTAAATGTTCAGCTTATATGTACCTTCTACAAGCATCTTTTTAATTAATAATCCACCCATTGAATGAGCGACCCATATAAGTGGCCGTTGGCCCACGTTCGCCATTGTCAATTTGGTAACGAATTCTTCGCTTCTCTCCTTAATAGTGCTCCTATAATAAAAATAAATGTAATGCATCAAACTATCGAAATATTTAATACCTAAATTTATTATGGGAAATTCAAACATTCTCTTAGAGTAATTAACAAAATACAGTACTTACTTCATGCTTTCTATTGGACAGAAAGGAGTCCACATAGATAAACTCGTACCATAGTTAATACCTATGATTCGCAAGGATGGTATGTCTACAGGTAACCAGTCCTTGGGCCAACAAAGTGTTTTGGATGAAGAGTCAAGATCATTCCTCATACAGGTGTCATCTCTAAAGACATCGCGTGTAAAAATTCACAAATTAAAAATATATTTGTTTAAAATATATTTATAAGCAAGTTATCAGCATAATATATTGAAGTTGATAAATATATAAAAATCTACCCTCTGCAGAAATAAGGTCCGCACGCACGATCGTTTGTATTTTGTGGACAATCATCCAGTATCACTTCAAAATCTTGACCTATCTTTCTCCATTCGCGCAAATGTAGATCGCGAGCCAAATCTTTAAAGAATTCTTGAGGACGATCGTCATCAACCATAGCAGACAAGTAGTCTGTAGTGTTTTCGACCAATATATTATCATCTGCAATTAAACGCGAAATTTTTGACAAGGTAAAGAGATAATCTCTATTATGAGAAATGTAGCTCTAAAAATTATACTAAAATAAATTATAAAGAAATAAAGTTGAAATAAAAGTAACTGAATGCTATGCTATGCAAAAATGTACTAGATTGCAAAATTCAAAAGTTATGTTCTAAACTGAAATCCGACACACGCACGCACACACACATTCATTTAATTATTGCTGAATGCTGAAACAAATCCATATGAAAATACATATGGAGATAAATTCTGCAATGTTTTATAATGTAGCATTCAATTACTGTGTATACTTTACCTTTTAATTTTTTTATTCTTATTCTTATATAGTTTCTAGGGGTATGATAGAAATAACGAAAAAATAAAATTCGAGAAATTTGATAATTGTACAAATATTAACAAACCTACAACTCCAAGTACAGAGGTATCAATGTCACGTTGTCTCCAGGTAACAAAAACGCCACCTAACAATCCATGCAGAAACACGACGTCCATTTTTGTTGCTGCATGAACTCTGTGTAAAGGATGGAGAAGATAGACGCTCTGCGAATATTTCGCTTTCTCGTTTCCATCTGTATCTAGATTCACCAATGCACTGATTGCCTGTGCCGACAGACGAATGTCGTCACTGTGGGACCAACGTGACAATATGCCAATCCATCCTTTATCAAAGTAGTTATGTCATCAACAATGCAATAATATATTACACAAAGATCAAGTTTATCTTACCGGATTCATAAATAGTCTCCAAATATTCGGAATGAAGAGATATGTTGGATAATATCCTTGCGAGTAATATACATATTTCTATGTCGTCATTGCAAATTTTTTGTATCGCTGTCAATATCGGTAGAGCTCCAGCATTAATCAAATCTAAAATCCAAAAATTAAGCAAAAGATATAGAATGTACATTAATCTGTAGAATTATACAGAAACATTCTCATAACTTACGTTTGCTATATTGTTCCACGGAAGAATGATGGCAGATTGCACGAATGCAACTTTTAAGTAATTCATCATCCCGAACTGTTGTCGTTTCCACAGAAAGACCCACGCTTGTCAAATCATGGTCAAACCATTCTACAAGATACTATACATCAAATTGAATAGATGGTTACAGCATGGATGCTATTAAATTATAATTATATTGTAACATTTAAAAAAATTGAAATATCTATAAATTAAATCATTCTTAAAATTATTTGTTGCATGTCATTTTATTGCAATATATTTATAACCAATTATAATTTCGGAATAATAATTTAATTAATAGATATTTCAATGTTTTAACATCAAAGATAATAATTTCAATAATTATATATTAACATATATAATTATTGAAATTATTAACATATACTTTTCATACTTGTTTTCATATTTTAATATTTTTTTCATGCATATTCAAGTACTTACTCGATGCGAGTCTTTAAACATTTTACTGAGAAACTGTGTAAGGCAGAGATGTGTGTTGCCACATAAAGCATTCAAATTTAACAACAGGGAATGTACCTTTTCTAATACATTCTGCAAAAAAATATTGAATGTATTTTAACAATGAAGAATGTTGGCAAATAGCATGTATGTATTTTATCCTTTTAGAAAGTTAAAATACTTTTAGAAAGTTAAGCTTAAAATAATTGAAAGTTAAATTTAAAATAAAAATTACATACATCTAAATTGTACTGCACATGATAATATGGTGGTTGCAAAAAGAACAATGAGTTAATATTGGACATTCTTGCGAGAGCTACTGCTGTTTTAGCATCCATCATTTGTGCCAAGTGACGATACTGCCAATCTGAAAAATTTATAGAGAAACACTCTTTAGATTGGACTCAGACTACGCATTGAAGATTGAAATTGAAAGATTGAAATTTGACCAATCCAAATAATAGGAGCTAAAATTCCCTTGTCCTTATTGATCAAATTTCAATCTTCAATCTTCAATGTTTAGTCTGATTTTGGCCTTAGGCACATTCAGATTTCTACCTGAAGTATTATTTTATCTTTGTTTAACAGCAAAGATAAAATGATATCTAGGTGATACTTAGGCCCGGTTTTTCATTATCTGATTAACTTGTGGTTAAGCTTAACCTGATGTTTCACCCAATGGACTTCATCCATGACATCATCACAGATGAAGCCTATTGGATAAAACATCAGGTTAAGCCTAATCACAAACTAATAAGATAATGAAAAACTGAGTCTTAGATGAGAACATAGGCCTAGAGCTATTACCTTTTAAGTGTGACAGAGAACCAAGTGTAGTTACAGCTTTACATCGTTCGTTTTTATTCCCATGCTGAGCCATGTACAATAACTTATATGCAATCTTATGATTCTTCATCTTCCACCATTTCGCTAGAGCATCACTGAGACTTCTTGGCTTCTCTGATGTAGGTCCATGTAGATCCTCATCCTTCCTGAACATGAAGATATCTGAAACCAAAGAATCGATCAATGTTTATACATAGAAATGTATATATAAGCCATGTTCCAATATACAATACCAGTACTAAAAATCTATAGTACATGTAACGTAAATTGTAGAGTGTTTCTAGTACTGGCAGTATATATTGGAACACGATAATTGTGTGCTGCTGCTAAGAGTAAATGATTACCTTTAAATCGAGGATCATCAATGTAGATGTACTGTGCCCGGGTTTGCTCTAAATTTAGAACACTTGTGTTGACAGCCGACCGCATGATCTGCGATACCTGTCGTAGTTGATACAGGAACCAGCATCCTCTGAACGAGATATAATTCCAATGTAAACATGTGATATTTGACGCAACCTTGATTTCAAGTGACAGAAAGTCACCTTGGAGTCACTTACCCGAGCACCACGACGCAAGTGCCGCTAGTCTTCAGGTAGTACACGTAGTTTCTCGTCACTCGTGCTCGCATCGCGTTCACAGGCTATGGTGAAGATTCACGACACTATTGACAAAACGGAATCAAAATCCATTGCAACACAGTGGATGTCACATCTCAAACAATTTCAAACTTTGAAAGGCGTCATGTCGAACTATCGACACGCGCGAAAAACGCGATTGGAACCGCTCGACAGCGTTCAGAAAATACACACCGTCGAACCTTCGAGAAAACAGAAATGATTGGTCTGGAAATTACGAGTCGCGCGATTGTCATATTTTCCAAACGCGAATGACGTATTTCGACTCTTGACATCTTGTTAAAATAAATGAGAGCATTTAGAGATCATGTATACTGGCCATAACCATAAATGCTCCCCAATTCGTTTTGAATTGATATTTCGTCATGCAATTCTTTCCTCTTATGTAAAAAATGCGAGAAAGTATAATTAAAAGAAATTTTTTATTCTCCCATAAAGTTTTTTTGCAACTACATTTTTTGTTTTTTACTATTTAAAAAAATTTTTAATTATATATTTATTATTAATTATACATTTATTTCATTTTGAAAACATGCACGTACGATGAATTATAGAACAATAAAACTTACAAGAAAAGTCACAAAAGTTTCAGATTCATTCTCTCTCTACTTCGAAAAAGATAATATATGAACTATATATAAATTATATTAAAACCTAACAAATTTTTTATCCTTTTCCTAAATTACATAAATAAATACATCATGAAAACTTTTAATAAAAATAAAAATATGTCTGACCGAGAGAGAAATCAATATTCCCCATTTCATGCAATAATTAAAATAATTACCATTTTTAAAAAAATGCAAAATCAATTTCCATAATTACTAATGACAAAACAAAAAAGGAAAAAAGGGTGACTTAATCCAATGAGGTAAAATCAATTTAATGCGCCCATGTTGTCTATTTCTTTGCTTTTCTTTATACACCCTGTAGAAGTAGGCGGATGAGGCGGATCTAATTAACCGTCGCTGTCGCAGCTGACAGAGGCGCAGGCTGAATGGAAGCGGGTCATCTGGAGCTGGAGCAGTTCGTAGCGTTTAGAAAATTTCGTGGTGGGTAGGGTGGTAGGATTCACGTCATTCACATCGACCTCATTGAATGAGAGACGCGCGCGTGCACGATGATCCGTCAACAGTGATCACAGCCGGCACCGCGCCACGACATGGCGACCGTCAAGGTGACGGAGCAGAAGGTTATACTGTGCGGCGAGTACGGCGTCGGAAAGACGTCTATATTCCGGCGCTTCGCCAACAACACGTTCGTCGCCAGCAACGACCGCAAGTCGACCCTGGGCCTTGACAACATCGACAAAGAGTACGTCGTCGAGGATAGACGGATACGCGTGAGTGTCAACTTTACATTGCATATGAATCGATTGCACCTTTTCACGTAACGGGAAATGTACGCAATCACTTTGGAAAATTCTGCCTTATTTTCTTCGTTTTCCCTTTATTGATCGTCAAGTTGCATGCAAGTTGCTCCATGGTATTTCATAGAACTTGGTTTCATATTACTGGCCTATTTCCTGCTGAATGAACTGTCAGACTGAAATCAGTAAGCGTACGTAAATATTGGAGTCACTGCTTTTCAAATGTTGCCCAAGGTAAATTTATTACATGTACTGATACACATTAAATGTGACTAATAAATTTTGTATGAGTTGCTTCATTTAATTAACTCACACAGTGTATCAAGAAACATTATAGTTGAGAAATTTAAATATCTCCAGAGTATTTACCGAAAATAAACATGACATTATCCTTATGAAATTTGTAAGATCAACATCTTTTTTGACTTTGCTTCTTTTGTTCTTCTCAGCTGCAACTATGGGACACTGGCGGTATGG